GCCTGAAAATAAGGTTGTTGTTTTACAGCATGTTAAAGTGTGTGAAATCTATTAAACACAGAGCCTGTGGGATTCTCACTCAACCAACACCACTATGATAACAGATTTGTTCGGCTCTACAGTTGTTGTATTTGGCAGCAAGTGTAAAAAGAATGACAATATGTGTCCATAAGTGTGGGAAGACAATATGTGTTCCATGTGTGGGAAGTCGTGGCCTAATGGTTAGAGAGTCGGACTCGTAACCCAAAGGTTGTGGGTTCGAGTCTCGTACCGGCCGGAATTATAGGTGGGGGGAGTGAATGTACAGCGCTCTCTCCCACCTTCAATACCACGACTGAGGTGCTCTTGAGCAAGGCACCGAACCCCCAACTGCTCCCCAGGCGCCACAGCAAAAATGGCTGCCCACTGCTCCAGGTGTGTGTTCACTGCTGTGTGTGTGCACTTTGGATGGGTTAAATGCAGAGCACTAATTCCAAGTATGGGTCACCATACTTGGCCACATGTCACGTCACGTCATAATTATTATACTGTATGTTGTTCAGTATTATGACTGCAGTTGTGTGGACTACTGTTATGGTGTGTGTGTACAGTATAAAAACCATTACGCCTATGGGATGTCCCCACTTTTCACAAAAACAAACCTGTGTGTGTGTGTAAGTAAGTGTGAGTGTGAGTGAGTGTGTGTGTGTGTTTAACTGCATCTAGTCACCATTCACTTATATTTTGTAAAAGTGCAGCATGAAAATCATGTTTATCATCTCCCTTTTGGTCTACATAACATTATAAGAGAACATTGTATAGTGAAACTTTCCTTTTCTCTCCAGAAAAATATTCTTCTCTCTTGTTGTTTGTTTTTGCAGCTGAAAAACCATGCTGATGGTCCTTTAGAAAATGGCACAAATGTTAAACTGCCAATCTCACACCAGCTGCAGACTGAGGGCATAATCATTATGTGTCGTGTCAGTCTGTATGCAGTTATGCTGATGATAATAGCTCTCTCTCTTTCTCTCTCAGTCAATGAGTACCTGTTCACGGTTCAGGCCCGTGGGATCCAGATCCGTGAGAATGTGAGGAATATGGGAGCTCAGGTTCTTGAGCAGATGGTCCGCAGTGCCTACAACGTCAACGGCACAGGTACGAAACGTTACGAAGCACAGAGAACAGACCACTAATCTTCCTTCCTATAGAACATCCCTGACATTTCCTCAGGAAGTGAAGGCATTACATCCTTCTGAGGCCCACCGAAAACAGCACCGTTTTGTAGCCAATACCTTTGCAACGCTGATTTAGTGAAAATCTTCAATAAGATGTCTATAAAACATGTTTGCATTGTCTTTTTGAATGTACACTAGTAAACGTATATCTACAAAACCAAAAGAGGGAGTTTTCATGGCCAATCCCCAAACATCTCTGCAAAGTCCAGGGTGGGATTACACCAGGGTTTATGAAGTATGTGGTCTCACAGAAAAAAGAAAAGAACTGCTGGTTCTCGGGAAGATAGTTGGGATGTTTGTAATGTATTGTTGTATGAATGTGTGATTCTCTTGTTTTCTAGACTATGCATACGAGTTTAACTTAAGTGAGGCAGATGTTCCCACCACTCCTTACCTCCCGGAGGGCTTCACGTACAAGCCTGATCAGGTCTGCCCGGAAAAACTGCCCTCCATGAGTAAGTGCAGGAACTTAATGTTGCTTTTGGTACTTTTGAGGAAACACACTTCAGAAGCACTGTATGACCAATTGAGCGAATGAGTTGTTAAAGCTCCTAAGAGTCATTTCCTGTGTTTCCTTTGTGTTTGTTGATGAAAGAATGCATACGTTGACAAAACCAGATAAAATAACGAACTGACATTAAATATTAAATGGCTACCAAATAAAATTTTTGAAACTGGTTTGGAATAGAGCTTGTGCAGCTTTGTTTCTGGTGTCGTTAGCTGTAATTACAAAGCTCTCATAAATACTGGTATGATCGACGGCAGCTGTTCTAACGATATGCATGTTCATGTTCAGAGGGCAAGATGAAGGTGAACATGAGTGAGATCGCTCTAGAGGAGGTTGAGAGACTACTCAAGAAGGCAGATCCAAGTCTGTCTCTCGGGGGCCACTGGAAACCGCACGACTGTCTCCCGCACTGGAAGGTTCGTCATAAAAACTGAAGCTACCTCTTACCTGTTTCTTCTTTTTTTTCTTTTTGTGGTTGCTTCACAAAAAGCTATGTTGCAAGATGGGTTGAGTGTGTTCTTTTTTTTAAAAGCCTGTCATTCGCTTCTCTTTGTGTGGTTATGAGCACACTGTAACCCAGTGTCAAATCTTCATTTGGGATTAAATGCTTCTGTTGAAAACAGTTGTTGCCAAATTAAAATGTTTTATGCAAGAAGCAGAAGAATTGTAATTTTGTTTACATGCTTCGATGTAGTAATACACAAATTGTTATACGTAACCTAACATGAAAAATCTAATTTCTAAGACTATTTAAAACACATATGGGACAGTGGAAAGAAGCAGTTTAATCATCTAATCCGATTTAGGAAATAATTAACTGAAATGGAAAAAATGACTATTTCATGGAAAATGTTATCAGTATTTTATTTATTTATTTAATTATCCATTCATTCCTTTAGCATTTGTGAATTTTGAATCAGATACAACACTGGGACAATCTTTAAAAAACATCTAATAGAAAGTGTGTTAAAATCATGAAGATATTTACAATATTGGACATTTTCAAACTGTCAAAAAAAGAACATCAAACATATCTTTAAATATTCAATATTTATCACCTAGCCCTGACACGCACATACAAATGCATCTTAGATATTCTAGCAGCAATAGAAATGTGGTAAAATGCTGAACTTTGGGGATCTTTGACACTGAGAACTGATATTTCTTCATTTTTAGCGATCGTTTTCCTATGTGTTTTAGGTGGCCATCTTGGTTCCTTTCCGTAATCGCCATGAGCACCTTCCCATACTTTTCCGACATCTGATACCAGCGCTTCAGAGGCAGAGACTGCAGTTCGGTTTCTACGTCATTGAACAGGTCAGGAAAAAAAGCTGTCACACTGTACAACCTTGTGTGGCTCAAGTATCCAAATTCTTCTTACAGCAACTGTAAAAATGTGCATACTGCAAAAACTGTTTGTGTAGTATGCTATTCTGACCCATAATATCTGTCACACCATTTGTCAAACTCTTCTAAATCACCCCACTGAAACACAGCCGAACATAAGATTGCTTTTACAAATGATTTATGCACTACACATTACAACTAATTCAGCTCGACTACTGTGTTACTGCCAGTATCATGAGCAACACTAAAGTAGTCCTATTTCATTGTAAAAATCTTTTTAAAGTATTGGTAAGAGGTAAAGGAAAGGAAGTTAAATTAATGTTTGTGTGTGTCCACAGGCAGGAAATGAACCGTTCAATCGTGCCATGCTGTTTAATGTCGGTTTCAAAGAGGCCATGAAGGACTTGAACTGGGATTGTGTAATATTTCACGATGTTGACCACATTCTGGAAAATGACCGCAACTACTATGGTTGTGGTGAAATGCCAAGACACTTTGCGGTCAAACTCAACAAGTACTCTTACATGTAAGTTTTCATAACATTTCTCCACGTGTGATTTTGAAATGTTGTTCGGTCTGTGTATGACAGAGGTGTAAAGAGTACCTAAATATAAAACACCTGTGATTCACAAATACTTAAGGAACTCGCATTCACATAAAGTAGCCTTGTTGAAAAGTTTGGGTGAGTAAGGGCAAAACGCACAAGATGCAGTACTTTCAGTGACCTGTAATAGGCAGTATCACGTCTTTTGTAGCAGAAATAAACTGCTGCAGAAAAAGCTAGGTGCATGCAAAATGTAATGTGTAACTGCAACACTCATTTCAAATGTAGTGGAGTAAAGAGTACAGATACTCATTCAAAAAATGTAGTGAAGTAGAAAGTAAGAGTTGCTAATATCTTTGATACTCAGTACAACTACAAAGTATCCGAAAAGATACTCAAGTACCGTAACTAATTACATTTACTCCAATACTTTACACCTCTGGTATATGAATTATGAATGACGTTTGGTTGTGAATAAAGATTCGTATCTCTCTAAACATGCAGGCTTCCGTATGAGAAGTTCTTTGGTGGTGTTAGTGGGCTCACCGTGGAGCAGTACAGGAAGATAAATGGCTTTCCCAATGCATTCTGGGGCTGGGGAGGGGAAGACGACGACATTTGGAACAGGTATGAAGGTGAAATTCTTTAGAGCTGTTAGCGGGATTTTGGAACGCAATGAACTCATGTCTTTTCGAAAGAGACACTCCCACAAAAGTGGTCTAGCAGCCGGTTTACTGTAAAAGATGATAATAACACTTCCTGGACTGAACTGGACTATCTGGATCCCACTAAATGTGTAATACGTACTATAAAAGGAATGATTGCCAACGGACGTTAAAGGTGCGCTCAGTAATTTCCCCTCAATTAAGATGGATTACACTGAAAAAAATAAGTAGTACTTTTTATTTTCAAAGCCTAATTTTGTTTCACATGGCTACCATTACTCGTAAAAAGAAGTAGACTTTCATTTAATTTCATTTTATTGTATACTAAAATCATTTATTGTATTTATAAGTAAACTTGTGTAAAGTATAAGTATATTTTCTAAGTTTCTTGTAGAAATTATACTAAAATCAATGTACAGTTAGTACATTTGTATTAAACCAACATCATACTTATAGTTTATTCACACTATGGAAGAATTGTCAATAAAATCAACCAAATGTTTATCTGTCTGTACAAAAAAAAAAGGTCAGGTTCAGTTCCACCAATGTACTATTAAGTTATTCTAGCAAAATGCTGACTTATTACTACACTGTAAAAAATCCAACTTTCGAAAAGTTCTACTAACCAATGTGAAAAATAAGTAGCCCGATCAAAGAATTTTTAGTAGAAGTCAGTTAATTTTTTGTGTGAACTGAACAAAAATACTCGAAACACGTCACTAACAAAAGTTGTTTTGTTTACCTTACTTAGATACTCAAGCATTTGTTCACAACATATCCAAATGTTCTCCCAACTTTTCATATTGAGTCATCTGAGTAAACAATTTTACATTGAACAATATTGCACAAGTTCCCAGCATGCATTGCAGCTTGAAAACATTTTATGTTAATTATAATGAAAATATTACCATTGTTTAAATTTTTACTGGCTTAATTTATGCTGCTGCTGCTGTTGTCAGTGTCAGTTAGCTGTCATGTGGCTCAGAGTTCATATTTTTACTGATTTAACATTTGTTGATCCTCACCATGGTTGAGAATCGTGTGCTGAGGTACTGTATGTGTGCATCTCAATGCAACTTGTTTAAAACATTTGTCTATCAGCCTAAATGTTTGCTTTTAGTTTTAAGAGGTAAATACTATGTTTGTTTTGCGATTCGGCCCGAATCAGTTTTCTAAAGTGTTTTTGAAAAATCACATACCCTGCCTTTAACTAGTTGCTTTATTCTATTACTAGCATATTGGCTGTTTGTTAGTACTTACATATTCTGCATGACCATATTCTACATCTCTAATCCTACACAATACCTAAACTTAACAACTACCTTACTAACTATTAATAAGCAGAAAATTAGAAGTTTATTGAGGCAAATCATAGTTAATGGTTAGTTAATAGTGAGAATTGGACCTTAAAATAAAGTGTGACCGCTTCATTTTTGCAACGGTAGCTAAATACCAAAGTACTCCACGAACTACAGTCTTGGGTAGACCACCTATTATGAAACACATTCGTACAAAGAATCAATTCATCTTGGGTGACTGTGATCAAACGGCATCTATAACCCAAAACTATTTATTTTGCATGATGTTGCATCTATACAGTATAGTTTGTATTATAAATAGTAAATAATGTAAATAGTCCTTCACTTTTTGCAGTGACTTGGAACATAGTTGACACTTGCATGTGTTTTTTCCAGGGTTCAGTTTGCTGGCTACAAAGTGAGTCGACCTCATGGAGACACTGGTCGTTATAAGTCTATACCACACCACCACCGAGGGGAAGTCCAGTTTCTGGGCAGGTAAGATGAGAACAGCCCTTTCTAAATATTTATTTTGCCATATTTCAGATGACATCCTGAGCGCATGCAGTCGACATTGAATTGTTGGGAATGGTTCTTACATAAACAATTGTTATGCAAATTGTTGCATTGAATTGAATTTCATGGAAAAGGCCCAGTCTTTCGTAAGATTACGCCTTATTCATGAAACACATGCACAACAGATTTCTGTGTTTATCATTCCTAAATCCATTATTGTGTAAATTATTGAACTAAAGGAAACTGTTAGCGTAAAATTACCATATTTTAGATCCCTTAATCCTGCACCATACCTTAACATAACAGCTACCACACTGACTATTAATAAGCAGAAAATTGGGAGTTTATTGAGGGAAAACTCATAGTTAATAGTGAGACCCCAAACTAAAGTGTGACCAAATTTGGCCTAATAGTTTTACAGACATTCATTCCGCTCATGCTTTTTTTTAAATGGCTTACACTGAAATTTCATTACTACAATTACGTTATAATTTGTTCTGCTTGTGTTCCATTATTGGGCTGAAAGCCAAGGCCGAATACGTTTTGACAGGCTGCTGAAAACACATTTTCTCCTTTTGTTTTTCAGATACAAGTTGCTCCGTAGATCCAAGGAGAGACAGAGCCTGGACGGCCTGAATAACTTGAATTACTCCCCTCTAGTGTCCCGGAAGAGTCTGTACACTAATGTGTCAGTGACGCTCAGTCAAGACCTGGCCCCTGTCGCCGATTACTGACAACACACAAGGGACGGGCCAGACAGGGGGTGGGGATTCCTTAAATCTTTAATGCACAGAGCATTTTTATTTTATTTTTAAATTTATTTTATTATATTATTATAATTATTATGTTTTTAAATTTGGCTTTTCTACATAATTTGTTAAGCTAATTTGACCACAGTTTTGTTTTGTTTTTGTTTTTTTTCCTTTGTCACTCATCCACTGTCCGTCTGTCATGTGAATCGATCCATTCTTGAATCCAAAACCCCAGCTGCTGGTTTACCCTCATCGGACCAATCAGATCCGACATGTGGTGTGTGTCTTCTAATCAGACTTCGCCTGGGGGGGTGAAGTCGCGTGTTTACAGCATGAATGACAAAAGCTATTGAACAAGTTAATGACAATTATGCTAAACGACTTCAGAATAGCCATTGTAGGAGTTGAGGGATATGCCCTTTTCTCTGCCAGAAACAAACACAGCTGGTTCTGTGCATTACGATATAAACCAATAAATGCAGATTAAGATATTTATTAAATATAGAATAAATAAGCATGCACTGATACTTACGGTAGATGCTACTAACATCACGGGTTTAAGTGTGAGTATTCGCTCATGAAACGTGGAAACGAACACCCTCGATCATTTTAGCTGTACAATACAAACACGCTCATCTACCACAATGCATACCGTTCAACACAAAGAGTTTTCTCGACATTAGCATGACCCCATGAAAATGGCTTGACAAGCGCAGTGTCCTTTCCTGTGTTCATGTATCTTCCACTAAAACAGGGCGTTGGGGCATATCAAAGGGCTTGTACCTTTTTGTAAATGGCCAGTAGCTTTTAGTTTATGATTTGCTACTTGCTATTTCTAATCAGGGGCAGGCGGTATTGAGAGGGGGACATTCAATTGAGTTAAAATTAGCCCAGAATAAATTTTGGCCTCATCTATATTTATGGGCCGTTTTCCGTGAACAGATATTCTCATTTGTACAGTCATTTTCAATCCGTCTATCTGCTAAAGTGAGTTTTCTCAACTCTTAGGAGTACAACCAGCACATCAGACCTAATATACATGGACTAAAAGGCCACAAAACGATGTCTTAAGAGCCGTACACAAACCACGGCAATGCCAGCAAAATGCGCCTCGCTCTGAACGGTCACGCATTTTTGCTGCGTTCACTGGGATATTTGTCATTGGAACTAGATTAGGACCAGCTGACGTGTTAGTTTTGAGATTTGTCAAGCTGTATTTATGTGGGTCTGCTGGTCGTTTAAAACACTGGATTGTCTGTCGAACAAACATCCTGTTGTTTGTGCTTACAGAGGGGTTTTTCCATTAGTTCCTGCTTACGTTGTGTAGATATTGTGCGAGTGTTTCCCATGCACTGCCCTTCACAGTCAAATCGACATGCTTTGCATTGAGCAATATGCTGTTGCCTCTCTGCGTGTGTAGTCACCGCACCTCTGATGACATTATAAAACGCTATTGAGTTTTACTAGAGCCAATATTTGACATTGTTTAATTCCGAGTGTTATTGCCAGGCAATCTCTTGAGCTGAATTCGGACAAATAGACTGAGCAACTCTATTAGACCAAACACACAGACACTTTGGGCCTCATTCGTGAAACCACTTGCATTCAACAACTTGCGTTCAAGAAATACGTCGAAACGTAGAACACATGCAAATAGAGATAGTTTACATTCGTGAAAGCAGACTGAATTTCTGTGTCGTCATTCATACAAACATTATTGCGCAATTTGTTGCATTGAAATGAATGCGACTTATTTTATGAACAACTCGCACAGAAATTGGTCCTGCTTGTGTTTTATAATATCCTGAGATACAGTGTCCATGTCGGTCATTTATGAACCATAAATGAGGCCCTTTGCTTTCATTCCACTGTAATAGCACATTATCATTACACGCGTTTATGTCGTTTAGAGACCTTAGAGGCTTCGTAATGCGTATTTGTGAGCGTGTTCGTGTGCATTCCTCAAATCACAGAGGCTGGACCTCGTACTTATTCATTCTTTTATGTACATTTGTTTTGTTTTTTTTATTAGTTTTAGTTCATTTTTACATATTTCTATTTTGTTTTACTGTAATTGTGATTATTGTGAGGGAAACGGATCAAGAGAGATAACTGTGATGTAAAAACAAGCACTGAAATATGTTTCTTATCGCGTACAATGTGAGGCTGATCTTGGGAAGAGAGTCTGTTGCTGTTAAACTCAATGGACGGCAGTTTCGTATGATGACACGAGAGAACGAGTAAGTTAGAGAGACGGTTCTTGAGCGCCCGCCCAGTGAACGTATCCTGCCCTGATAGCCAATGGTGCTGACCTCACAGACATTAGTACTGTGCTGCCGTGGTACTTTTGTCTTGTAACAGACAATTAGACGGGATTGAATCTAATTACACTCTTGCCTCATTGACCATCTCGGCAGCGTAATCTATCCGTGTAGCAGGTAAATTGTGTTTAGCTGGACGAACGCTCAAGCAGATCTTTCTAATGTTTGATTCTCTCTGTGTTTGACGCTCATGGAGTTTTGCGCCAATGTTTGGGGTCCTTTTTGCTCGTTTAACAATTAGCGATTAATGCTCTCGCACTGCGTCCGAACCCAATGCAACATGACAAGATCCCAGCATGATGCCACAAACCAAGTGACCAACAAAACGAGCTCAAAATCAAATATAAGACACAGAAAATCCTACTGGTCCTGCCTCACTTTTCTTTATGGGGCCCGTCATTGGCACACTCCAGCCCACTATATAACCCATTCTGCTCCAGATGAAATGACAGGGAGGGCCGCAAGCCATCCCTTGAACAACTGGCTGCCTTAAAACCTGTTAATTTATTCAATATAATCATGTTTTTATTTTTTATAAGCAAATATATTTAATTTGTTATTGTGCATATTGTGTAGTGTGTTTTGGGAAAAAAAGTCATATAAAGGAACTTCAAAGATTGACTTACTATTAAGAAAGAATTTGGAGCCCTTTAGTCAGACAATGATTTGGTGCCATTGATCTCTCTGTGAATGCCATGAGCTGTACGAGCTGTATTTTCTATTCACTCCAACATTTTTTTTTTATCATAACAGGCCTTAAATACTGTTTTTATGATCATTTGTGATGATTATAAAGATGTTCCTCTATAACATTATCATGTACCTTACTAAGATCTTTTGTCGGCCAAACACATTAATTTTCCAAACCTTTGCATCTGGAAATGAAACATTTAACATCATTTGTGTAATATCAAGACAATTGAAATGTTATGAGAAAATAAGATGTTGTCGTCCATTATAAGGGGATCAGGTCTCCTTGAAGTGAAGCCATCTGCCACTCGTACAACACATCTCAGCGTTAGTGTTTCTGTATGAACATATCTTTCAGTAGAGACACTTTCTATGATGTGAGATCTTTTTTTGTATTATCATTGTTGAAATGACTGAAGTGCACCAATAAAAGTGACTTTAAGCAATATCTTTTGTTGTTTGGTGTGTTTGAATGCTCAATTAGCTGAAGTGGATAATATTCTAGTGGCAATAAACTGAATTGCAAAGATTGATAATGCAAAACTGTGAATGATGTTCTGATTGAAAAGTGTGCTTGTGCTATATTTCTTTCATGAATGTGCTATATATATGAAAAAGAAGGTTTTAGTACCAGTAGGCTACTCTCAACATAGCCGTTTACTGAGCAGTTCAGAGATCTGAATTCAAATGTTTTTGTGTGATGGTTAAGTGGTTATCATACACTTCATCGTTTAGCTTGGCCTATTTTTATGTAACATTTAGAGCATCAGAGGTATAAAACATTGGTTCTTTATATAATATGAATTATGCATTCACTAAAACAAAATTGGTCTTATTTATATATATATATATATTGGCATGACATGGATACACTAGTGTGATTTAGGTAAGAATCCATTGCAATTTTTTTTTATAACATTAGGTTTATAACATCTTTTGCTGTCTAACATAGTTAGCGCATTTTTCAATTATCTTCTGTAAATTCGCTTTCTTCATTATCAAATATATCTGTTTGATGTTTGTAAGTGTACAGTGCATATGATTGAGAGCGTCCTACTATACATGAAACATTTGCAACCAATGTCGCTGGATATTCATTAAAAAAAACAACGGGGACAGGTGTTTGAGGTTGGAAAGTATGAGGGCTTGGTTTTTGAAGCAATGAGAAAGTTGTTACATGTTTTTTCCTTCTTCTGATGAACAGCAGCGCATGCGCTGACTTGTGCCATTGAAATGTGTTAAGAAGGTACTGTAAATAGTCCATTTTGATTTCATGCTAACGTTTTAAATTGAAATTATGCTGAACTTTTCACACACAGTGTCATCATCCGGTCCCATCTGCCATTTAATCAGATGCTACACTGAAACAGAGAAATCCTTTGAGTCATTCCCTAAAAATAACGCTCCCCATTTTAACAGCATTCAGTACTCATCTGCTTCTTTTCAACAGACAGCTGCAGAGACTCAAAGAGCTGCAGAAATACAAAGATCATGATTTTGTCAAACAGTTTTTCACTCGGCATGAATGGGTTTGAATGCCAGCTCTGAATGGACCTCTTCAGTTGTGCATGGATAAGGAAATGAAACAGCAGTTATATAGCTTCATGGGATGTGGATGTGTGTACACATATATTTATAATTACTCTTAAAATATTTAAATATAATTAATATCAATTATAATAATTACATATTTTAAATAATAATAATAATAATTGTTGCAATCCAAAGTTATTCACCTGACCTGCAAGACATTCTGCTGCCATGATCAAAAACTGAAAACAGTTAAACTAAGGCATCAGAAAACTTTTATAGAAAGTCTGAGGACACACGTTGCATCAGCAGAAAAATAAAATCTTATTTGCTTGAAACATTCATGTACAAAATTATTCAACCCCAAAAAGTTACATTTTGGAGAGAACTTTTAATTTAATTTTCTTTATAACAGTCAGACACCTGAATGAATCATCAGCCAATCATAGAGACGTTGTCATAAATTTGATAAAATTAAAATTAAAAACTCTTAAACTAATACAACAGATTTAAATATAGTAGTAATATTGTAAATATAAAATATAACAAATAGACTAACCAAAACTGAATAATACGAACATTTAAAATGTAATATTGTTAAACTTTTTTCTCGATTGTCATCTACATTTTGTTCCTCTCATCGTTTTTCACTCCAGATTCAGCTTTGTGTCGTGCCTTCTTTTCCGCTATCTCTTTCCTTTTGTAAAGCATCAGGTACGCGAGTGAGGTTAACCATGTGCAGATTTATTTTTTATTTTATTTATTTTTTATTTTTTTCATTTAAACAAAAAGGACAATCCAGTAGTCAAAATGAGGCAATGGTGATACACAAAATACATGGGCAGTCCAACATCGAAATTGAGGCCTTTCCATGCACGAAAAAGCGAAACGAATATCAGACACGCTGGAATAAAACAATAGATTTCTATGGATGCTTCTACATAGACCGCGAACATTTGTGCACCGAAAATGCAAAAAATTTTTTAGAACCACTCCGACGAATCTTTTCAGTTTCGCAAAGTGACAACACGGGCCGTCCAATAAGATTTGAGCTACAATCATGTGACCGGAGCAGCTGCTGTTGCACAAAAGGGTGAGAGTGGTGGCGCTGTTTCGAAAACCAGTGTAAACAAACACAGAAGAAGAGTATCCCGGATAAGAGAAGAGAGTGGATGCTGAGTTCTTGTTATAGTTGGTATTTGAGAACAGATTTATTCTCACATGTTCTTTATACAGAATAACATTTATATTAATTGTCCACTGAATTATGTGATCTGTAGAGCACCGTCTGTTTTCTTCAACGTGCGCAAGTGTTATGAATCAGAGCGCGTTCACTCTTTTTCTACACATGAAATATGAAAGCAAACAGACATGATTATGACGATATATTTTCTGTATGTGTTTTGTATGCAGCTCATGGTATTTTTATAGCAATAAAGGATGTTTATGACAAATATTAGCAGTGTAGCGTTATTAAACATACAAAGAGTGCATGTGTCTGCTTATTAATCAAAATCAACTATAGATCACAACTGTCAGTTATTACAAGCACTCGATGATGGTTTAAAGTGGGTAAGCAAATACATTAATAATTACATACATTTTCAAGTGTAGCTTGATGCTAATTGTACTTCTAATTATATTTTAGGATGTAGCCTATTCTTGTAAGTATTATAGATAGTTTGTGTTTCTGGTGTACAACCAAACTTTGTTTATCTTAATTTAATGCTGTATATTGAGCAGCGGACAATGTTAAATCCATTTACGAGATACATATCTGAGGAAAAATGCATTGTTGGACGGCGCCACCTAGCGTGCAGGCGTGAATTAGCAGAAGGCGAACAATCATTTCGCGTTCGGTGTGAAAGCACCGTTCGTCGGCGATTCGCCTCTCTTTTTCGCATCGCGCTCAGTGTGGAAATGCCTTTAGGCTGCGAGAACAATCACCTAGATTTCAGGTAAGTGAGACCTCTGGTGGCAGAGTTGAGAAATGGCAGATGATGTGACAGAACACTCTTCTTTAGGAGCGTCTCCTGATGCTTCATAGACTCACTACTCGCTCTCGTTTTGTAAGTGCTGGTTTAAGAGTGTGTTTTTGATGAAAATCAGATATCGGAGAGGGCTTCAAAATGTCAGTTCCCTGACCAAGAATGCCTCTTCACTGTCAAGTTTGATGGGTGGAGTAGTGAATTGTTGGACGACTCCTCGTCTCTCCCCTGAGAGTCTGGATTCAAAAGGAAATATGAAAAATGAGAGAGATATGATAATAATCAGGCAGTTTGAGCTTGGAGGCTGATATCCCAGCATGCAACAGAAAGGGGTCATCCCAGTGGAAGAGTTGACTGTGCAATTGACTGGGGATGGTTCCCTGAGGTAAGGCACACCTTGATGGAGATACACTAGGGAAATAAATTGGGTTCCTCGATCACAAACAATTTCCTCCAGGATGCCAAGTTCTTAGCAGTTTCCATAGTAGTAGGTAGTTTCAGGAAGGGAATAAAGTGACAAGGAACTCAGTTCTAGGAACTAGCCAGCAGGGTCGTTCCTGCAGAACCAATTTCCCCCTTCGGCCGTTTTACTGGTTGCATTCGCACCGGCAGCAGGAACTCTAGAGTGGCCAACCGCGACGTCTTTATTCGCAGCCTTTACAAACGTCAACAATTGGTGAATAGAGGACACCGTGATCGGAACTGTTTTTGTTGTGGGTTTCATGATAACGGAGATGGAACGTAAAAGCACAGTTTACATGATTGAAAGAGCATGAAAATCTAACTAGATCTCCTATAACAACTTGAAGTGTTATATATCATCGACGCTGAGAAAAGAACACAACGCTGCAGGCAACAGGTAAATGCCATTATATCGCTGTTTTCCATGTTCGTGGAGAAAATATTTTTACATGGGTTTTTAAAAATGCCGGGTAGCCAGTGTTTCATATGCGTTTGGCCAATCAGTGTACACTTGCGTCACTGGTAGTTTCTATAGAACTGTTTTAGACCCTACTCTGAAGTAGGAGCTAAATTAGTTCCTCCAAACAGAGTTCCTAGAACTAAATACATTCCTAGTTCATGCGGTGCGAACACACCAAAAAGCAGGTACTTCCGCCAATAGTTCTAGGAACTATGAAAGATTCCTTTGGTGTGAAAGCCCCTTGTGATTGTGAAAATGATGGTGTTACCTCGGGATAGTGGCAGGTCAATCATGAAATCCATGGATATGTGAGACCATGGACGGTAGGGAATGATCAAGGTAGAAGTCCAGCAGGAGGTAATCTGGAGTCCTTGATCTGGGAGCAGACAGAGCAGCACCTAACATAACTGTCTGAGGACAAAGACGACCACCAAAATCAATTCCGTACCAGAGCTATGGTGCGAAAAATTCATGGGTGACCTGAACTGGGTGTGGTATGGATCCACTGAATCAGTTGACTCCGTAAGTCCATGGGGAATGTATACATTATTGGTGAGGCATCCCTCAGGTTCATAAATTCCCATGTTATGGGAGCTAGGATTATGGAAGGTGATGTGATGGGTGGGCTGTCAGGAAGATGGGACAGGGCATCAGCCTTGATGTTCTTACAGCCAGGCCCGAAAGGAAGATTGAACTTGAAACATG